GGGGGGGGGGGGGGGGGGGGGGGGGGGGGGACAAGATGTGAACTGCAGCCGTTCATCTCATCAGATGGTCCAGGGGCTCTAACAGTGGCAGCCCTCCAAGGAAATGCCCCCCCCCCCCGCCCGGGGCATTTCAGTCTCTGCTCTTGCACACCCGCACTCACACTCACACTCACTCGCACAGCTCCCGGAGGTGTCTGCAATGCCTGCTCTCTTCTGCTCTGTTTCAGGGAGGAGGAAGAGGAAGAGGAAGAAGAGGAGGAGGAAGGGGAGGGGTGGCCAATAGGCTCTCCTGGCTCTGACTGCACCGATGGCCCCCTGCCCGAGTCTAGGATCAAGAGCTTGTGAGTCTGGCTGGACAGAAGGGGGCGGTTGCTGGTTTGGGAGGGAATCTCTCTGGGGACAAGGGGAAGCAAGCAGACCACTGGCCCTGGGGGGCTTTTCTGGGAACCCCTCCCAGGGAAGCTGCAGCTTTTGGTGTAAGGCCGAAGCAGGGAGGTTGGGTGGTGTTTCTTTCCCAGTCCAGCCTAAAGGCCGGGGGGGTTTCCTGGAAGTTTCCTGGCGGAGTTCAAGGTTAGCCGCCCCTCATTTGCCAGACTCCGGGGAGGGGAGCATTTTGGCCCTTGGTGAACTCCCTAAATTCTGCATGACCCCAATAAGTGCCAGGCCCCTTTTCTTTCCTCCCAGCCTCAGGAACTCCGGATTGAGATCACAGGATCTCTGAGTTTCCCAGTGAGAGAGCCACTCCTTTTGCATTTATGTTTGTTTATAAGTAACTGAAAGTGGTGAATTCTGCACTCCTTCCTCCTCTCATCCCCCCCCCTCCCAAACAACCAGACTGTGGGGCAGGCTGGGCTGAGAGAGGGTGACTGGCCCAAAGTCACCCAGCTGCCTTTCATGCCTCAGGCGGGACTGGAACCCACCATCTCCTGCCAGCAACTTTCCCACTAGACAAGGCTTCCTGAGTTGGCTTGGGAGGCCAAGGGGCCTGGGGGGTGTTGACCGCATCTCTTCTCAGTGTGTAGCTCTCCCCACAGCAAGGCCAGTCCCTGCTCCAGGAGCTCCTCTGCGAGAATTGCAGGGGCAGCCAGAGAAACGTTCTTGCTCTCCGTCCTCAGGCGTCTCCTCTGTGTCTCTCCCCTCCCAGCTTCAACCAGTGGTATCGCAGAACCTCCCAGCCCAGCTCCCCGGAAAGCAGGCCTGGAACCTGGGAGATCATCAGCGCAGAAGATGTGGGCCCAGGAGAAGAGCAGAGGGAAGAAAGGCCCCCCGGGAGCTCCTCTTCCCCAGGCCCAGCTTCCCCACTTACTTGAGCCGGGACACTGCTGGACTGGCAGCTCAGCCCTTCTGGGCTCCAGGAGAGATGCTGTGGGGAATCGCTGGCCCGGCTTTGCCAGGGCAAGCCTGGGGGCCTTGCCCTCCCAGACCCCTTGCCCCCTCCAACGAGGCTGCTCCCTGTGCAGAGGGCAGCCAGAACCTGCCTTGCGAGCGCTGTGCCCAGAACTGGCTGCCTGACCTCCGTCCTGGGCACCTTCCACCTGGCCCTCCCTCCACACAAGGTTGCGCCTTCTGGGAGCTCCCTGGAGCAAGAGTTGTACCCTGTCCTGTGCCTGCAGTCTTCCAGGATGGGCAGCGAGTGTGCAACCTTCACATTTAACACCAAAACAATAAGGACAATAAAATGGAAAACGTGCACATGGGAATGAAGAGCCTCCTTGGGAGGAAGCAGAAATCCCCCCCCCCATTTCTGAAGCAGAGGGAGGCAGCAGGGCAGGATGTCCTACCCCACTATTGATGCCACCCTCCCACCAATTGCCATATGCCACTCAAAACTAGCCTTTCATGCAAATCTTAACCGTGGATAAAGCACCCCTTCCTTCTGGGGGGAAAGGTGGTGGGGAGAAGCTGGGAGCCCCTTGGAACAGCCCCTCAAGACCCACCTCCTGGTGCCCCTCCCTCCCCCTTCCCTGGGGGTGGAGGCTCCTGCTCAGGGGAGGGGGGGGAGCCGTGGAAGGGGGCATCTGAAGCACACAAAGTTCTTTAGCTTGAAACCAAATCAAGCTTGAAACCAAATCAAATCACCACCCTCCAGACCTTCCGCACAGCCCTTAGAATCTGGCTATCCCGTCAGGCCTGGGGTTAAAGACTGTAACCCACCCGAATGGTATGAATGTTGCGCTTTTAATGATGTACTGTCTCATGTGTTAATTGTTTGTTTCCCCCCCCTTTTTGAGTTGTAAACTGCCCTGAGTCCCCCCAGGGAAAAGGGCGGCATATAAATAAATTACTCTAAGAAAAACAAAAAGTTCTCTTCTGGGGTTTTGACAGCTGCTGGCCCTGCTCCCTTGGACCCCAGCCTATCCAGCCAATCCGGGTTCAGTGGGCATCCCTGCACACTCTGCCTTGAAGCCTTTGGGGCCTGTGAATGCTGGGAGGGGGGGGGGGGTCCCAGCCTGGAGTTCTGCCAGAATACATGGGACAAAAAAGTCCCCCCCCCCAACCCGGTCAGCTAGGCGGGAGGTTGCCTTGTGCGGGGGGGGGGGCTCCTAGAGCTTCCCTGCGGGTCTCTCCAGCCGCCCGAGAGTCCGGGAGGGGCTCGCGAGGCTGGGGCCCGAGACACTGCCGAGCCTCTCGGGCGACGATGCTCCTTGGCCCCCTTCCTCCTCTGCCCGGCCGGCTTCCTCAGGAAGAGCCGCAGGAAATGGGCGGGAGGCGCTTCTGCGCTGAGGGTCGCGGCCGCCGACTTCTCCCAGCCGGGCCCCCGGGACGATGGAGCGCCGTTGGGTTCCTCCGCCGCCGCCGCCGCTGCTGCTGCTGCTGCTGCTGAGCCTGCCGGAGCCCGGGCGCGGCTCCCCGGAGCTGGAGCTCGGGGGAAAGCACGTGTGCGCGGCGGAAGATAGGTAAGAGGGGGAGAGAGCCGTCCCGCCCCGCTTCTCTCAGCCGGTCGCCTGTGTGCTCCGCTCTGCCGGGCAGGGCAGCTCCGACGGGGGCGGGGGCTTCCGCTGGTTCCAGGGGCCGGAGGGCGCCGGCGGGGCTTCTGGAGGGGCTTCCTTTCGGCCTTCGTCTGCCGTCTGAGACTCTCTCCCGGCCCTCGGCCGCGCTTTCCCTTTCCGCCCATTCTCCGCCCGAGGCCCCAGCGGACTTCCCGTGCTCGGACCGGCCGGGAAAGCTGGGACTCGAGGTGGCAGCACGGCGGAGCCCCCCGGTGCTTGTTGGGGCCGTTTGAGCCTCGTTCCTCTTTCCGGCCAAGAGTCCCGGAGTGCCTCTTCGCCTGGGAGCGCCCTGTACGATCCTGCTCGGCTCGCGGGGTCGGCAGCGCTTGGCTCCGGGGGACTCGGAAGGGTTCCGCAGCATCTGAAGGGAGGAGGCGGGTGGCTCCGCCGAGGACGGTCCGGGTGCGCGTGGGGGCCGGTGGGCCGGGCAGTTGTGAGCAAGGTTGGGTTCCCTCTCGCTCTGGCTAAGGGCGGTCTCTCTCCCGCCAGTCTGCCGCCCGCCCTCGTCTGCTGCCCGGGATGGAAGCAAGTGGGGCCCGAGTGCCCCCTGGGTGAGTGGCTCTCCGTGCGAGGGGCCTCCTGCTGGCACACCCACCGCCAGGACTGGGACGGAGGGCAAGGACCAGGCAGGGATCCAGGCCGGACGCGGTTCCTTCTGCCCCGGCAACGCCAAAGGCGGGGCAGAACTGCAGGATGGGCCGCTGCGGGCTGACAACGACGGCGGCTGTGCTGATGCTTTGCGCCCCCTTCGGTCACCTCACTTCGCCCCCCCCCTTTCCTCACAGCCCTCTGCTTGGGCGCCGACGCCTGCCAGGAGCGGGAGATCTGCGTTCGCCCGGCTGTCTGCCGCTGCCGCCCGGGCTTCTTCGGGGCCAACTGCAGCGCCCGTGAGTACCGCCCAGTTGCGGGAGAGCAAGAAACCGCTCCCCCAATTCTGAGGGGGCCGTTAGGCGACCACGGATTCACCCGTTTCCCCGTGGCTTTCCCGGCCAGTTGGAGAACCCCTCGCCCACCAGCTCTCTGCTGGGACCACCAGGGACTCCTGACCCCATCCCGAAGGAGCCCTGCCTTCCCCGCCCTGGCCGTGAGCTGGCTTCCCTCCTGATCCCCTCTGCCTGCCTGAGCAGGAAAGCGCCCCTAAGGTTGGCACCTGGAAGGGCCCTGGGGCCCCTGGCTGGGCTCCTGGTGCAGACTCTGCTTCCGGCCAGTCCTGCGGTGGTGGCCCGAAGGGCCTGGCTTTGCGATGGCCCGTGCTTCTCTTTCAGGGTGTCCGGAGCAGTTCTGGGGTCCAGACTGCAAGCAGAATTGCCGCTGCCACCCCCAGGGCAGGTGCCATCCATCCAGCGGAGAGTGCAGCTGCCACCAGGGCTGGTGGGGGCCGCTCTGCCAGTCGGCCTGCCTGTGTGGGCAGCGAGGCCACTGCCACCCCGTCACAGGCAGCTGCCGGTGTGATCCAGGCTGGTGGGCCCCTGACTGTCGAAGGCAGTGCCAGTGCAATCTCTCGGGCTCCCACTGTGACCCGGCCACTGGCCGCTGCCTCTGCCGTCGAGGCTGGTGGGGCAGGCGATGCGCCTCTCTCTGCAGCTGCAGCGGATCGCCTTGCGCCCAGGAGTCCGGCCGATGCGAATGTATGGCAGGAAGGTGGGGGGTGGCCTGCCAGCACTTTTGCCAGTGTGTGCACGGCCTGTGCTCCCCTCAGGATGGACGCTGCACCTGTGACGCTGGCTTCAGGGGCCCCACCTGCACAGAGCCCTGCCCCGAGGGGACCTATGGACCCCAGTGTGCCCATAGGTGAGGAGCCTGTGACTCTGGGAGTGCCCTTTGCCCACTGAGAGGCCAAGGGAAGAGCCGCGAAGCTGAGCGCTGGACTGCCAGGGTGCCCACTCGCCTGCGCCCTTTCTCCCCCACCCCTGCAGCTGCGGCCACTGCAGGAACCGAGCGCCCTGCTCCCCCACGGAGGGGGCCTGCCTGGCCTGCGACCCCGGCTGGAACGGGACCCACTGCAGGCAGCCGTGTCCTTCGGGGCTGTATGGAGAGAACTGCACCCAGCTGTGCCCCCGCCACTGTCTCCAAGGAGAGGCTTGCCAACCGCAGACAGGACGATGCCGGAACTGCGAGGCAGGATTCATGGGGGCCAGGTGGGGCTCTTGAGCTCCTCTGCACCAGCAGCAGCTGTGGTCCTTCCGGCTGCCAGAAACAGGGAGGGAGGGGAGCAAGCAAGGGCAGCTTTGCAGAGCTGTGGGAGGGGGGCGGCCAGTGGGGAATCCCCTCCTGCCCCAGAGGGGGCCCTGTCCCCTTCTCGCTTCTGCCCCTCAAGCCCTCCATGGCTTTGATGATGCAGGTGTGAGGCCCCCTGTCCCCCCGGCTCCTTCGGAGAGGGCTGCCAGTCCTCTTGCCCCGACTGCTTCCACGGGAGCTGCGATCCGGCCTCTGGGACCTGCCTCTGCCAGCCTGGCTTCTGGGGAAGCAGGTAAGGAGGTGGGGTGGCTGCAGTGATGCCCTGCTGCCCGCAGTCCCCCCTACCCCATTTTCTCTCTGCTACCTTTGCAGCTGCAACCAGACCTGCCCGGAAGCCTTCCATGGCCCCAACTGCTCTGCGGCCTGCCCCTGTGCAGGGGGACGGTGCCACCCTGTCTCCGGAGACTGCCCCTGGGGTGAGTCTGCCTTCCCTGGCCTCCCCTGGGGAGGGGGCTTTCCTCGCTGACTCCTCCCTCCCTCCCTCTCCCAGAGGTCCAAGGCCAGGGGGCCCTCCTCGCAGGCATCCTGGGGCCCCTTCTGCTCCTGCTGGGCCTCTGCTGCTGCTGCTGTTGCCACCACCGCCGCCATCCCTGCCGTGCGGCAGCCTCTGCAGTCAGGTGAGAGCCTCCCCCCCCAGAACCGACTCTCTTTGGCTGGGCCCACCCGGATGGTTTGAGCAGACCTGACCAGCTGGAGAAGGCCCGGAGAGGGGAAAAGGGGGTCTTCCCGGTCTGAGCTCCCCCTCTTTCCTAGGGCACCAGGGGCCGAGCAGGATCTCTTCCTTCCAGCGAAGCACCGCCTAATGGCCAGGCTGCCCAGCCTCCCTTCCAGCTTGCCCTGCTTCTCACCAGGGGGCTCAAAGCTTCCACGGGTGATAGGTGAGGATCTGCCCCAAGGAGCGCCAGCACAAAGGGGCCTGCCTTTCTGTGGCCCCTGCCTGCCTGCCTGCTGTCCTAGCAACTGAGGGCAGCTGAGGGGCAGGGCCTGCGGTGAGAAGGGCTGGGCCTGATAGCCGTGCTCGGATGCTTGTCCTCCTCCAGTCGCCCACCGAGACCCAGAGGTCCCCTTCAACCCCAGTTTCATCGAACAAACGTCCGCGGCCTGGCCCTCGGACGGCTCCTTTGGCTCCTCCTCCTCCTCCTCCGAGGGAGTCAATGAAGAAACGGGGGGCCGCGAAGGGCCTCAGTCTGCTCTCCCTCCCAGTGAAGGTAGGAGTGTGAGTGGGGGGAGTGGGGGGAGAGGCAGGGTCCCCAGTAACCCCACATCAATCTTGCCATCACCGCTTGCCCAGAGCAAAGCAGTTTTAGCAATCCCCGAGTGTCCCACTCAGGTTTCGCTGCCGACCCCTTGGGTAGAAGGGAGCCTGCGAAGAGAATAACAGAGCTGGAAGGACCCTTGGAGGTCTTCTAGTCCAACCCCCTGCGCAAGCAGGAGGCCCTATGCCATTTCAGACCAATGGCTGCCCAATCTCTTCTTAAAAGGCTCCATGTTGGAGACGTTGTTGGAGCACCCGCAACTTCTGGAGGGAAGCAGTTCCACTGGTTAATTGTCCTCACAGTCAGGAAATTCCTCCTTAGTTCCCGGCTGCTTCTCTGCTTGGTTAGTTTCCATCCGTTGCTTCTTGTCCTGCCTTCGGGTGCTGTGGAGCATAGGTGGATATCACCCCCCTTCTTCCTCCTGGTGGTGGGTAGCCGAGGGGAACGGCTGCTGCCGCCTTGGCTCAGCCCTGAAGGGAAGGCCCTGCTTGCAGGTGAGACTCGGCTGCAGGCGTGCCGTGACCTCCTGGTATGGCGGGGTGAGGCCCCCAGGGGGCCTGCTCCACCGTACCCCTTGCCCCACCACGCCTGCTTGGGGTGCAGAGGCTGCATCGTGTTAGTGCCCTGCTAGGGTGACCCCAGCCCAGTCTTCTTCTTTTTCTAAATCCCCTCCTCTGCCTTTTCAGCCTTGCCAGAGGGCAGCCTTCTCCCCAGGACAGCAGCCTTGTACCCCTCGCCCTTCGCCATCCCTCGCACCTCCAGCATCGCCAAGGGCAAGCGGCCCTCCGTCTCCTTTGCAGAAGGGACCCACTTTGGCCCTCAGAGCCCCAGGGGCCCCCCAGAGGCCCTCAACCCTACCCGGAAGCCAACGGCCTCTGACAGCTCAGCCCAAGGAGCTCCTCCTCTGGAGGCCGACCACCCCACGGGGGCCTCATGCCACGCCCTGGGCAGAAGCTGCTACGAGGAAGTGGCACCAGCTCCCTGGGAGGATAATGGCCGGCCCCCTGGAGGCCACCCTTCCAGCAGCCACAGGAGCTGGGCTGGCGCGGAGGCACCGGGGGCAGCTGCTGCGGAAGCTGGTGTCCATGAGCCCAGCATCACCACCATTTATGTGACCGTGGGCCAAGCCAGAAGTGGCAGTGAAGACCCCCCTCCAGCTGCCCAAAGGCCTCAGGGGAGTGGGCAGGAGGAGGCTGCCTGGCCAAGAA